TCATTCTATAAATAATTTGCTTAGGGTTTGAAAGATGTTCGCCACGCCACTGCGACTATATAGTATATAAGTGTTTAACTAGTTAAAAATAAATATGCAAGTTGACCCAGTAACAGTTATTGGCTGAAGTGGTGTATAAGACAAGTATATAGGTAGCAACTATATCAACTATCTTAGTGTATACTACATAGTGAACCACCGTTATAGTCTTTATAGTTTTCCTTTTTTCCATTTGTTGTTTGTAAAATAAAATAATAATTAGGTAGGTATTATTATTTTGTAACCTGCAATGTTATGAACGAATTCATGGCAAATTCTAAGGCGAACTTTACTGCTGATGTGGTATGGTAATATTTTTACTTGTAACTTTTTAAATGTTTGTAAAAATCGAAAAATAAATCGTTTTAAAAATAAATTTGTTTTATATTTAAAATACTAAAGAGTAAGGGTTGCGTCATGCGTTATTGTGTCTCGTTCCATCCTCGATTATTGAGCTTTTGATTGCCATCAACCGCCGTTGCAGGACTGTCATCGGTACTGGACATCAAATCCTCCACTCTTGGGCACGGGCAGCCTCGTTTTCGGGAAGTGCCTTGATTGCTAAGGCGCTGCTCAGTCGAGTCCGGTAACGTTACACTGCAGGCGTTATTCCGTGGCGTGCTGCAGCGGCCGGAGCGACTGTGGCATCCGGTCGAAGCGGCGTCTTTTCTCGCAGTCTCCACTTTTACTTCGGTCTTGTTATCGGCATTAATGTTGTTGTGTCGAGACGACACCCGGTTCGGACAGCCACTTTTTCTATCACTGAAACCTCGCGCTGACGGCCGATAAGTCTCATCGAGCTGAACCTGTTTTGTGACCGGTTCGTTGTTACAGCCGTTGTCCGTCGCGCTGAAATTGCAGAAACATTCGACGACAAAGGTGCCCCGTGGCTGGTCGTGATTTTTGCTTTCACCCTTCGAACTTAAACGTTCTTTGGTGTCGAGTGGTTGGCGTTCTCTAAGGTCGTACTGCGATATTCGGTGTTCTCTGGTATCGTGTTGTGACGGTAATCGTCCGCTGGTATTGCCCTGGGACGGTCGTCGTTCTCTAGTATCATGCTGTGACTGTCGACGTTTCCTAGTGTCGTGATGCGGCTGTTGACGTTTGCTAGCGTCGTGATGTGACTGTCGACGTTCACTAGTGTCGCGCTGAGATGTACGACGTCTTCTAGTGTCATGCTGTGGCTGTCGACGTTTGCTAGTGTCGTCCTGTGACTGCAGTCGGTTTTCTCTTATGTCGTGATGCGACGGCCGGTGTTCTCTGGTGTCACGCTGCGACGGTCGGCGTTTTCTGGAATCGTGTAGTGATTGTCTTTCGCAGCCTGAACTCTGCTGTTCGCAATCGTTTTGTAATGATGTTCGCACTTTCCGGTTTTCCATCATCAGTTCTTGCTGTTTGCGCTCGATACACCGCATCAATTGTGCCCGGCGCTGTTCCACCCTGTACAATTCTTTTTCGAATTCCGGTGTCACGTTCGATCGGTTTTTCACGGTCCGGTTTGTTAGGGTCCGATTGTTTAACGTCAGCGGCAGTGCAGAACTTTGGTTGGTGGCCGGATCTTTAGTGGAACGAAAAATGGAGGTAGGAACTTGCAACGATTTTCGGTCTGTCCTCGATTCGCTGTTCCGTCGCGACGACCTCACATCTCTCTGCTGCTCGTCATTAAATCTCGGCCGATGGCAACGGCTATTATTAGAATCGTTGACTCTATTCACGTCAGACATCGTCGTTTCTTTTGGGAGCCTACTTTCCTCGCACATCATCCTACCCTCGCAGGTCCCGTTTCTGGCGATATTGCATCCTGTGTCCTCTCGGTCGCAGGACTTGCTCTCAGTGAAGTTGTCGTTTTCAAAGAAGTCTTCTTCTGGTTCTTCGACGAAACTGTTTGCCTGTATTGGTTCGCGAATGTTACGCACCGAACATTCGGACTCTTGATGAGACGAACATTGTTTGTTGATATTATGCTTATCCCTGCACGAACCACTTGCATTATTATCTACTGGACTGCTCAACATGTTTTTCGTATGTAGTTTCATAAATTTAATGTATTTATTAATAAGTGTTAAAAGTATATTAATCGAGTGTTTCTGCGTTTAAAATTTGTTTTCTTAATTTCTTTAATCCACGTGTTAAACTCGTAGTAATAATATTTTGACGATTTAAAAAATATATCTGTAGCTTAGCAATATTATATTATTATAGTATACAGACAGTATAAATACTATGATTTGATCTTTATATACTTATATAGTTATATATTATATAATAATATTATATACTTATATAGTTATATATTATATAATATTATATTATATAATAATATTATATACTTATATACTTATATATAGTCAATTTTTATAATTATTGTAGACATAATATAAATGAATATTATGTTTGGATGCAAATAATAGATTCGTCATCTGTGTATTATAACTAAAAAAAATAATATTATTATATAATGATTTTGATTAGGGCATAAATTGAAGTTTAGCTAATAAGCATCATTTTGGGAATTTTTTTTCGGAAACCTTATAATTTCAACAAGTTAAGAACAATATTATAGGTTAGACGTACCTATCAGATTCCACTAAGTTTTTGATAGTGTAAATTTAAAAAAAAGTTTATCGTAAATATTTTTTATGAGCGTTTGAATTACAAATTTTGACAAAATACATAAAAACCAAAAACATTTGCTAATTATTTCGAGTTAGAAAATAATAAAAAAAATTTATTAAGTTAAAAGTTACTAGAAAAAAAAATTAACTAGATAAATTAAAAGTTAAGATAGAAAATAAAATTAACTTAACTCAGTAAAAAAAAAGTAGTAGTATTTTAATTTATACAAATATTTACCAGAACGCTTATCAGTATTCTAATATTATTTATTAACACTATTTACTAGTGAAGATTAAAATATAATCTGATTATTATGAATTGATGATATTATAAGTTCAGAAAAATAAATTACCAAAATCGAAAGAATAAGTTTTCTGTTGGTTCCACGTGATATATAAAAAAAATTAAAATTAACTTAACTGCCCCATAGTGATAATTAACTTTAAAAAGTTAAGTTAAAACGATAAAAATTTAACTGAATAAGTTAAAGTTGAAAACAAAAATAATTAACTAGTTAAGTTAAAAAAATAAAAAGTTTAAAAAAATTAAMTTTTTAACAAGTTAATGCCATTGGATGATAATTTAGATTTTATGACAATATGACGTAAGTAATTGTATAAGTATAATAAAGTTACTTAAGTTATTAATCTCATATGATTATTATATGAATATGATTATATGAATAGATACTAAAAACTTAATGCTAAACTTAAATACAATTTTTAAATATCAAATAAATGATGGTTATTACTGATGAAATTCGTGGATGCTTACTTATTAGTCTTACTACAATACAATACTACTTATTACTACTAGGTCTTAATATTATATATCACAGAATATATTATGAATAAATAATATATTTCATATTATATTCTGTGATTATATTTTCAAAATGCTTATTGTACGATAATGCAATCGGTTATTATCGTCGTTATGTTGGTCACGTCAGCCACATTTTGGCGCGTTTTTCATTATTTATTTATTCTTATCTATCATCATCAGCAAAATATAATAATATGAACTAACATTATTTAATATTTTTAAAAATAATTTTCTTTACTCGTTAGTCATTAGTCATAACTTGTAAGTTCTTAGTCTTTATTCTTCAATCCTTCATTCCATTGTTGTTAATCTTGTTATTTAATATTTATATCTTATTTTCTAATAACTATTATTTAAAATTTCAATACAAGTTTCATCAACTCAAATCGTACATCAATACATTTATGATTCTAATAGTATACTAATTTTTATGCCTCAATCTTTGTGACGTAAGTACCTGTATATTTAATTTTATTAATCTTTTTGTCACCTAATTCGCATAAAATGTGAACCTAGTCGTATCCTAAATTTTTCCTCTTACTTTTGATTGCAAATTGTGTTTAAAATGCATTCATTGTCATTTTGTTTCCTTTTGTAATCACTGTTAATTTGGTTAACTAATACTATTGAGTATATATTTATTTTTATAAACTCAATGTTAATACTTAGATAATAGTTATTATATTTTGTATAGTTGAACAAAAGTGATGGCATTAGTTCATGCTGAATTGACAGCTACTTGCAATTCATTAGGATGTGCAGGACCTGAAAAGTATTGTATTGATCCACAGTGTACAGSTATCTACTTGGTTATAAATAAATGTATACAGAATATACCTATTTAGTACATCTTTGTTTTGAATTCTGGTTATTTTTTTGCAGAGGCCGTTCGTGATCTCATCAAGTTTTTGAGACGTGATGGTGATGACCATGAAATCCGTCGTCACCTTGGCACAGCAAATATTGTGGAGACTGATTTGTTGCCAATACTCGTTGAATATTCAAACAATTCAGATTTGTTTGATTTGATCATAAGGCTGCTAGTCAATCTTACAACCCCCGCATTGTTGATATATAATGAACAACCGCCCATTGAGAAAACACAGAGCCAATATTACTTACAAATGGTGTCACACCTACAAAAATACAAACGAGCATTTACAGACATCAATGTCTGGAAAGTAATAGTAAATAAATTGGCAGAAGTTATACAGGCAGTATGTATGACTTTCATAAAAAAAACTTATAAAATAAATTAAATATTATTAAATAGTGTATTACTTTTATTGCAGGAGTACCATGAGAAAGGAGAGGAAAAAGTATTGTCCACAGTAAGACTTCTCATCTTAGTCCGCAATATACTGCATGTGCCTGCAGATAATGATGCTGAGTGTAGACCTGACAATGATGCAAACTTACATGATCAAGTAAATTAATACAAATAAATCTTATAATATCTTACATCGATCTTTCATTTAATAACTGAACATTTTTAGGTTTTGTGGGCATTGCATCAGAGTCAACTTATTGATATCATCATGTATATAACATGTTCAGTTAACGAAGAGCAATACTATTTACATGCATTAGAAGTAAGCATTTTAAATCAGTATCAATATTTTCATTTTAAATATATTTCTTAGTATATTTATGATATAATACTATATTTTGCTCTAATTTTGTTATTTTGAAAAAATCCTTAGATTATTTCACTTATGCTTCGAGATCAAAAAGCAGCTGAACTTGCAAATGCGTCAGTCAATCGTACTGAGACTGAAAAACAGAGAGATGAATATGATCTAAAAATAGTATTGGAAAAAGAACGAAAAGAAAAAATGGAAAAGCTTAAAAAGTATAGTGGATCACGCCATTCTAAATTTGGTGGCCGATTTGTTGTTTCTGGTATGAAATCAATTGGTGAAAACGAAATGGTTGTTTCATCAATGTCATCTAATATAAATAAGGCTTTTGACCGTCACAAGGTGTGTTTATGAATTAAATATTTAAATTCATCTTTTTGTCAATCGTAGTCACATACTTAATGTTAATATTATTTTTATTAATTCAATTTAGAAACCTCTTAAAACTCCTCGTAACAGATTACCTCTAAGAGATGTTGGTATTGAACGGAAATCTGCATTTAGTGTTAGACTCTTCTTAAAAGAGTTCTGTGTCGAATTTTTGCATGGGGCGTATAATATGTTAATGAAGCATGTCAGGGTGAGATTTTTTGTCTATTTTAACTATAAATATAAATATTTAATTCAATAAAATATATAAATGTGTTAAAGGAAATGTTAGTGCGTTCAAAAGGCCAGCCTAATGATGAATCATACTATTTTTGGGCAATGCAATTTTTCATGGAATTTAATCGCAATTACAGATTTGAAATTAAATTAGTTAGGTAATATTTCTGTTTAGTATTTACCATTTACTTAAGATGTTTTATTACATAATATAATATATTTAAATTTGTTTCCAGCGAAACTATGGCTTTAAACATATTTCATTTTGTCCAAGAACGCATTGAAGAAAGTCGTGAAAAATTGATAACCGATAAAAAAAAAATTCCTATTTGGTCTAAACGCATGCATTTAGGACTTAAAGCTTACAAAGTAAGTATATAATGTATTATTCAGTGTTTTACCATTGAATTGAGTTAATATTTATATCTCCTTTAGGAATTAATGGAAACACTGTTAGTGATGTATCAAAGTAATGATCCAACGTTAGAATCTAGTGCTCGGACAATTTTAACAAATTTATTTTACATGGTTGAGTATAGAGATATGTTATTGGGTTTGTTAAACTTATATGATGAAACAAAATTCTCACGGTAAATATTACTAAAATGCATTATGTTCTAAATATTTCATACATTTTTATATATTTTAGAATGTACCTCAAGGATCTTATTGAAACAAATCATGTTTTTATGAAACTTTTAGAGCATGTAGGGAAAAAACAGCGTAATTTGATTGTGCAGTGCAAAGCAAGAAAAAAGAAGACTTCTAAAAGTATAACAACTCATAAACATCATACATCACCATCATAAATAATGATTTCTCTTTTTATCTCCGTTTTTAACTATTTACATATATTTTTTTAGAAACCAAGGCTGCTACTCAAGTTACTCCAGAAAATGATGATGATATGTGGAATAATTTTAGTCCAGAACTTAAAGAAATTATTCAGATACGTGAACTAGCTGTTGATGTCATTGAAGCCAGACCTTATGATCCTATTTCTGAAGTACCTATGGAAGACCAAAAGTAGTTTAAAATTGTGTTTAATTTTATACTTTATCGACTATTGTTATATATTTTGATCAAATTTTTTTAAAGAGTTAAAGCCATGCAACGTATACGAATGCATATAAGAAATAAACGTTTGGAAGAATCTGTAAAACTATTAAGAGCTTCTAGGTAAGTAAAATATTGTATATGCCTATGTTCTATATAATATATTTATTATATTGATATTGTTCTGACTTTATATATTTTCCAATTGCTTAATAAAACAACAATTTTAGTAAGTAAAATATTAAAAATAAAAATGTATTATTTAGTACCAA